TTCTCACCCCTGTGGGAAGCTGACCTAGGCTGAATGGTGCTGTGAGCTCCCTATTCAGAGAGTGGAGAGAATATGCAGGCTCAGGTCAGGCAAACCTCCTCTGGAGGTGGCATTTGGATTAGATTTTGAAGGATGAGTAGAAGTTGGAGAGATGACTGTTATGGGAGATTCAAGATATGGCCCCAGTGAACCTCAGATACCTGGCCTCCTGCTGGGTGCTTGCCTGGCATTGGCTCCCACTCTCTGCTGAGCTGTGGAGCTTTGCCTTATCTCTGTTCCTTCCAGCATGTTGGGAATGTCTGGTGGCTCTCCAGAATTTGAGATTAAAGCATTTAAATCATCATTTGAGGGTAGGATGGGGCAGATACTGATTCTCTCCCAGTCTTAGTTCCTAGCTCTCTGGCCCCTGGGTGCTTGGGGAATATAGTGTGATGGTGATAAGCTTCAGCAATGACGTGCTCTTTGTCACCAGCTGAGCTGTAGCTCCATGGACAGAACTCCTGGTAATAGACCCGTGAGGTGCTATCTGTGAAGCCAGATCATTCAAGGGTCCTACTTGCCCCACTTTGGTAGGGGATAATAAAGGTACTTAAACTATGAGCCATCAGCCAGATGAGGCAGACCCATTCTTTTGGGTGCCGAAATAATTTTGGCATCTCAGTGGGCGTTAACAGAGCATGGGGTGGTTGGAGATATGGAGGTGCCCAGTTAAAGAAGAAAGTTAAGTCATGAAGTCCTGTGGAAGGGGAATAATGTTGGCTGCCCCACACCCCCAAGAACCCCATGCCCTTGGCCTGCGTTTTTCTTTTTTAAAGATTGGCACCTGAGCTAACATCTGTTGCCAATCTTTTTTTTTTTTCCTCCTCCCCAAAGGCCCCCAGTACATAGTTGAATATTTTAGTTGTGAGTGCCTCTGGTTGTGTTATGTGGGACGCTGCCTCAGCGTGGCTTGATGAGCGGTGCGATGTCTGTGCCCAGGATCTGAACTGGTGAAACCCTGGGCCGTGAAAGCGGAGCTCACAAACTTAGCCACTCGGCCACGGGGCAGCCCCCTTGGCCTGCGTTTTAATCTCCTGGCCATTTCCCACCCTGATGGGTTTCCAATCTTGGCTTTCAAAATGGAATTTATTTGCCATCATTATCTAGACTAGCACTGTTCAATACAAATACAGTGTGAGCCATAATAGCCACTTTAAAATTTTCAAATACTCACATTTAAACAGGTAAAATTACTTTTAATAAATATATTTTATTTAACCCAGTGTATCCAAAATATTTCATTATGTGGCAGTAGCCACATGTCATGTGCTCAGTAGACATGTGTGTCCAGTGGCTACTGTGTTGTTGGACAGGGCAGATGCAGACCGACTTTATATGTCAAACTGACTGGGGCGAAGAGGCTAGTTTGTGATTCTACATCTATTTAGTACTGTTCGAGGCCAAATCTCAATTCAGACTCTGTTAAAAAGATACCAAATGGAGAATGCAGAGGCTCTCTGGATTTCTGCTGATTTTGCTGTGTTTTACTTTGAGTCCTGCCCTGTCTGATAACCTGTGTGCATTTCTGCCTTTGGGTTCAGCCCACTGGGAGAAGGGCCCTTTGGGGCTTTTCGGCCTCCCTGATGATGGCACATGCCCCAGAGCCATGTGCAGACAGCCCCCAGCAGCCTTTCTCAAGCCACTTGGGGATTGAAGTCAGATTCTTCTAGTGATTTTTAAAAAAGAGACAAGCCCCAGTTAATCATTGTCTCAAGATAATTTTGCTTTATTGACCAGATTTCTGTAACATGAATAATATGTCGGACATTGAAAGCATGTGATCCAAAAAGTTATTTTGCCCCAGGAATTTAATGAGAGATGATTAAGAGGTTAGTAATTGTTCCCCAGTTCGATTTAATACCCAGAATTTTAAAGGGAAAAGGTTTTTTCTTGTAAAAAGCAGATTTTTCATGGTGCCTGCATTGCAGGAGACAGCTTGAGAGCAGTGAGGGATCTGACCCGGTGAGTGTGTGCCTGATTTCTGAGTAGCCTGTTGCTACCGAGCACAAATAGGAGCAGAGTAGCATGTGCAGGCTTGAGGAGAGAGAGTCGAGCAAGTGTCTGGGCAACCCCGAGTGGTCTTCTCCCTAGGATGGGCATAGGGGGCCAGGCAGGCAGGGGAACCTGTGGGAGGACCAGAACACACACGCGTGCGTAAACATACATGCACACTGCACGCAAGCACACACCACCCAAACATACTTTCCTCTAAGCTGGGGGTTGGGAGACTGCAGGCTCACTATGAACTCTGAAAGGAAGGAGCGGGTCTAGGTGGGCTTAGGGCTCTGATTTTGCCTGTGGTTGTGTCTCCCAGTATCTTACTTTCTCAGCCACTCCCGTCTTCCCTCCTCTGAGAATGCTGGGTTCTCTTTGTTCTGCCCCAGGGCCAGGCTGAGCCCCCACCATCCACCCTGTGACCTACCTGCCGCAGACTCAGGCTCTGCTTCATGGGTTTCTCAAGGGCTCACAGCTTCCAGCCTGAGCTAGTCTCCTCCCTTCTCTGAACTCTTCTTCCCCTTTTCTACAGCAGCGAGTTGTCTAATCATGTCATTGCCCTGCTGAGAATCCAGGAAGGCACCTGAGTCCCCTCTGGCCTGGTCCCTGCCTATCTGAGCCTCACCTCCCTCGGATCCCTCCAGCCTCCGCTCACTTCTGCTGTCTTGCCTCTGGACCCTTCCACATATTCTTCTCACTGCCTGAAACTTCTTCTTTCAACCTTGTCTTTCCAGCTAACTCCTACTTGCCCTTTAAGACCAAGCTCTTGTATTACCTCCTGATTACTTGTTCATTCATTTCTTCACTTATTTATGCAACAAAAACCTACTATGTATCTGGCATTGAGCTAGGTGCTAGAAAATGGAGACATCTTGGAGTTTATGTTTATTGGAGAAGACAGACATTAAGCCAATCTTGTGTACCTTTTGAATCTGCAGGTGGCAGGTTTCCTAAACTTTGAGTACCTTGGCCTTTGCCTCACCTCCCTCACTGGGCTAGATGTCTTTCATCTGTGCTCTTCAGTCATGCCAGCCCTATCTCACCCTCTCTGACCTCTGTCATAGCACTTAACACTTGAAACGACTGGAAACTACTGGTTTGTTGTCTTATCTTTCTTGCTCGGCCAAATCCCGATTCCAGGTCCCTAGGAGGTAAATGTTAATAGTAAATGCTAGTTCAATGAATGGATGAAATGATAGCTTGGCTGATAGTTGGAAAAATTTTCTGTAAAATACACAGTGATCCTCTAGTGGATGGTTTTCCTTACCTGGGTCTATGTGGGCGCATGTCACTGAAAAGTCTCCAGGTTGTAGTCAGAGCACCCAGAGGTTGTCCTTTCTTTGTGGACAGTAGCAGTTTGGTCTCTGGCCTGTCACTTGCTGTCAGGCCTACAGTTTTCCAGACTGTCTCTGACCCTGGGACCCCCTATGTCTGCTGTCTACTCAGATGTGTACTATGGCGGCAGGACGCCAGTGTTGATGAGGTTCCCATAATCGTGCCATGGCATCATTCTCCTTGGGACTCCTTTGTGGGGGCAGCTGGAGACCTATGACCCACACCTGCCGTCTAGTTTGTTTATAGCTGGGTTCGTTGTTTTGGGTTCCCTCTGTGTCTTGATTTTTTTTTTTTACTGTACAAATAGTGAAATTCACTCTTTGTGGCATACAGTTCTATGAGTTTCGACAAATGCCTAGAATTATGTATCTGCCACCACAGTCATGATGCAGAATAGTTCCATCACCCAAAAATTCTCCTGTGCTGTCCCTTTGTAGTTAGCTCCTCCCCTCACCCCTAAACCTTGGCGACCACAGATAGGTTTTCTGTCCTTATAATTTTGGTTTTTCAAAATATTACATAAATGGAATCATTCAGTATGTAGCCTTTTGGGTCTAGGTATTCATCCATGTTGTGTGAATCAATGGTTTGCTCCTTTTTTATTGCTGAATAGTATTCCATTGTGTGGATGTGCCAAAGTTTATCTGTTTACCAGATGAAGGACATTTGGCTTGTTTTCAATTTTTGATGATTATGAATAAAGCCTCTGAACATTTGCATATAGGTTTTTGTGTGAATATATGTTTTTATTGCTCTTGGGCAAATAGAATACCTAGGAGTGGGGTTGCCGGATCACTGTGTAAGTGTACATTTACCTTCATAAGGAACTGTCAAACTGTTTTCCACAGAGACTGCTCCATTTTACATTCCCACCAGTGGTGTATGAAAATTCCAGTTGCTCTGTACCCTCTTCAGCACTTGGTATTGTCAATATCAAAAAATTTTAGCCATTACAGTAGATGTGCCATCTGTAATCATGCACTGCATAACAACGTTTCAGTCAACAACAGATCACATATACAACGGTGGTCCCATAAGATTACCACCGTATAGCCTAGGTGTGTGGTAGGCTATCCTATCTAGGTTTGTGTAAGTGCACTCGATGATGTTCACACAGTGATGGAATCACCTAACGATGCATTTCTCAGAACGTGAACCTGTCGTTAAGCAACATATGACTGTGGTTTTTAATCCTCCCTTTTCTTTGTATGCTCTCCCAGAAGCTCATAGAGTTTAAATACCATTATTTGATGTGATTTGGCAAGGAGGTCATCAGTACCTATGTGAGATTGGCTTTCTTCCGATGGGATTTGTAGGTGCTCAGAGTGAAAGAGCTGCAGGAATATCAAGCCTTCCTAAAACCTTTTGAGGAAGATGTTATATTGTATCATTCTGTAATTTTAGAATTTAAAAAGATTTCTTAACATTCTTTATGTTAAAATTGCTATTTGCTTGACCAGCTTGTTGTGAGCAGAAGCTACTAATCTTGAGACTGAAATTTCTTTGACCTCTTCTCTTTAGCTCTCCCTTTCGTGTGACGAGGTGTATAGTCTGTCCTCACACAATATAATTTTTTAAGTTCTTCATCTTACTAGTGGCCATAACACTTTCCTCCACCTCCCTCTTTCTAGGCTCCTAATCGTCAACTCATGACTTACTGGTTACAGGAGCTTCAGCAGAAGAGATGGGAATATTGCAACAGTCTTGACATGGTAAAGTGGGCCAGCAGGACCTCCCCAACCCCTGGGGATTTTTCTAAGGGTCTCGTAGCCAGAGATAACACAGGTAAGTCAGAAATGGAGGGTAATGTGTCAGTTCTTTGTGTAAGGCCATTTGGCACAGCAAATCAACTTAGCAGGGAAATTCAGAATGAAAATAATGATGATGATCCCTCATGAATGGGCAGCATTCCATAGTTACTGAGTACTTCCAGGTACATGAATCATATTCAAGCCTAATGACAACGTTGGGAGTCAGGCAAGGCCAGTGCCAAGCACCCTGAAGAGATGATACAGCTGAGGTCGGCAGGTGGTGAGTTGTGGTAGTATAACTCCCACTCTGACTCCAGGGTCAGCCTGCTCCGCCCTGCCTGAAAGTGAAAGGCCCATGCCTGCACATTCATGCAGGGCAGGGTTGCTGGAGTTTACAGATGTGTGTCTACACCAGGAAGGCATTCCCAAAGCATTCTGCTTGTGATTCCTTGTTTCTTAGGAAAACTTTAACTGTCAAACACTGTTTCCGTTTTATTCTGGATTTGTGGCATTTCTACAACTCTTGGTGATCCCTGGCCGATTGCAATGTAGAGATAATGTGGTTTTATATTTGAATATCAAAAATTAAAACCCTGTGATCTTCTCATGACTGGTTGTGTTAAGCAAAGAACAGGGCAACAGTTATTTGCTGACAGTCCCGCCCCCTCCCCCCAAGATTATGAGGGTAGGACTGTTTTTGTGGCCCCTTGTCTTCATGCAGGGAAAAGAGCAGGCCCAGAAAAAAGCAGTCCCCTGAGTCCTCAAGTAAGGCATGAAAAGGCCGGGCCATTACACTAGCATTTTTTAGGGATCAAAGGAGGGCACATTGAAACTTAAGCCAGTGAGGGCTAGTTCTGACACTTTAAAGAGATGTGGTCGGCACTTCAGAACACCTGTGGAACCCTCTGCTCAGCAGAACACAGGCTACATTCGAGTTCCCTGTAAACTGAGGATGGTGTGGGCACATGGGCAACCAACTTGTTTCAGAAACAGATGCCTTCTGAGACTTTTAATTCTTTTTTTCCTCCAAATCCCCTGTTTTCCTGCCAACCTTGTTTTTACCAATCACAGTCTTTTTCAGCAGGTTAGTCCTCTCCGTCAGTGAGAAATTACCGTATGCACTTTCATACTTGTGGATATGTTGTCCTGTGAGAGTTCTCAAGTCATCGTCATGGGTGTCTTAACTCTCTAACTATACCAAGAGCTGAGGTGATGCCTTCATTTTCAAGCTTCAACCCCTTCTATGTTTAGTTCACAGTTCTACTGAGTTTTTTTAAAAGCCACTATTATAGTGCTTTTGATCAAAAGAAGCTCTCTAACTCAGTATCAAAGTCATTTGAAACATTTGGAAACCCCCGTAGGGGACCCGGCAGTATTCATGATGGTAGCTAATGCCTTTGGCATAGAAGACACTCGATTTGCCTCAGTTCCTGTATTTTGAGAACACAGATTGCTTCTCTCTGACAGAGACTCAGGTGTTAAACTGAAAGGAGGGGCAAAGAAGTAGCACCCAGCCCTGTAATCTCTATAACACATACCCTTCCTTCTTTTAAGCCCAAATGCTGTGGCTAGGGAGCCGGAGAGAACATCTGAAGCCCATATTTGGTTCTCTTCATTCGGTTTTGGGACTCTAAGTGTGGGAAATTAGAGTTGGTGCCATCTGACATTTACTTATTCATTCAGCAAAGTAGGCACCCATAATGGGCTTGGTCCCTCTCCTCATGGAGTTTCTAGTCAAGCAGAGTGTGAAGAAAAAATGAGATAAGTGTGAGAGGGAAGTTACAGGGTCCCAAGGGCCCAGGAAAGGGGCTAGCACAGCTTTGGGTGGTTGGGAGCCCTCTCTCAGAAAGTGGCATCTAAGCTGAGACCTGTAGGATGACCAGGAGTTAGCCTGAGAGGAGTTTCAGGCGAGAGAGCTGGAGAGAGCTGGTGGTGCCTTCAAGGAACTGAAAGAAGGCCCACGAGGCTGTAGTGAGCTGAGCCTGGAGGCACAGTGAGGGCCAGGGTGGAGAGAGCCTTGACTTCCCTGTTTGGTATTTTAGACTTTGTCCTAAAAGCAATGGAGTGCCTTTGAAGATTTTATGTGTGGAAATGACTATAATTTTAGACTTCTAATGATTTTTAGATAGCTGTTAAGAACAAATAATGAAAGTTTGAAACGCTGGGCAACTTGCGAGACTAATTATTCAGGAAGTCAAAAAGTCTAAAGGAGGAAGTCAAGGAGAGAAGGCTGTATTTTAGCCCCTTTTGTTTTATCATCAGAGGTAAAAGTTGGTTAAGAGGTAAAATGTGTTACAGTTTGTAATGGTGCTCTGTGATGTTTCTGAAGCTATGTTTGCACTTATCTGCTCAGCATAGCCTAACCATGCTAACTCTAGCTAGAATCGAAGATAATGTTTTTCTAACTCTGATTTGCATTAAAAAATAAAACTTTTCCTACTGTTCTCTCCTCGTTACCCAATTGTTATAAACATTTTCATTTGTTGTCTAGTGGGTGTCACCCATTAGTACCCTCCTAGCACCGAAAGTCAATATGGGGAAAGATGTAGGGAATTAACATTTTCCATTGATAGGCAGTATAGTTCTTGGAAGGCAGCTCAATCTGGTGGAAGAAGCCCCAGGTTCCTGGGTTTGAGTCTTGGATCTGATAGTTACTATTTGTCAGATTCTGAGTAAGTCATCTTTCCTCTAGCACAAGGGTAGCAAACTACAGCTTGTGGAAATGAAGTTTTATTGGAATAATTCATCACCCATTTGTTTGTGTGTTGTCTGTGGCTGCTTTTGCACAACAGTCATTGAGTTGAATAGTTGTGACAGAGACCATATGACCCACAAACCTAGAATATCTACTACTATCTGGCCTTTTAAGAAAAAGTTTGCTGACCCCTGCTCTAGTGTCTTGGGCATCTCTCTGTCTTTTCGAGCCTCAGTTTCCTTATCTGGAAAATGGAGATTGTTCATTTAGTCTTTCACTCCAGGCATTCTTGTATTCTAGGCATTGTGCCAGCTGCCCAGGATGTAAAGACAAGTAAGTCATAGTACATGTTCTCAAGGAGTGTTTGGTCTAGTGAAGGACCCAGACAGGTAGAGACCTGTACAATGCAGTCTGATAAGCACAGAGCCAGAGATGAGCACAGGAAACTTATCTATGCCTGGGGTATTGGAGCACAGGGTGTTGGTGGTGTCTGAAAAGCTTTCTTGGACTTGGAGACAGCTGAACTGAGTCCTGGAGGTCAACTAAGAACCTGGAGGCCCTAGAGACCAAGTCCCTGGCTCAAAGGTAGAGTGGGTGGGCAGGAGTGACAAAGAGGAAGCTGGATATAGATGATCAGGGACCAGACTTGGAAGGGCTTTATAAGACAAGCGAAGGCATGGTGAGTGATAGTATCAGATGTGCATTTTGAGACCATTAACTGTGACTGAATGGTAGAGAATGGATTTGTCAGCAGGACAAGAGGGAGGGAGACCAGTTAGGCGGCTGTTGTGGTGGTCCAGGCTAGAAATCGTAGTAGCCTTGACTAGGGTTGTAGCAGGGGATGAGAAGAAATGGGCAGAGTTGGGAGATTGTAGGCTGGAAGAACTGGAGGCTTCAGAGATGGGATTAGATTTGAGGGAGAGGGAGGGTAAAGAGTACTGTCCAGGCCCCAGGCCTGGGCAGTTGTTTATTTATTAAAAAATTTTTTTTTCCTGCTTTTTCTCCCCAAATCCCCCCTTGTATAGTTGTATATTTTTTTAGTTGTGGGTCCTTCTAGTTGTGGCATGTGGGAAGCCACCTCAGCATGGCCTGACAAGTGGTGCCATGTCCGTTCCCAGGATCCGAACTGGCAAAACCAGGGGCCACAGAAGCGGAGTGCGTGAACTTAACCCCTCGGCCATGGGGCTGGCCCCCAGGCAGTTGTTCAGATGGGATTGCAATACTCACGATGACCTTGTCAACCCCCCTCATAGTTCTGTTATGAGGATCAGATGGCAAGCTGTATTATTAAGTGTAAAGATATATATATATATGAGATATAATTTTGAAATGGTTAGGATTATGTTCAGCTGCAATTAACAGGAAACCTGACTAATAGAGACTTTCAAATAGGGATTTGTCTCATGATAGGCAGTTTATGGCTGGCAAAGTTACTCACCAGTGCCACTGAGGGACGCATTCTGTTCTTCATTCTTAGTGTATTAGCTTTCCTGCTCATGCTAGCTGTCCCTTGGGGTGGCACCTATATCAAACACTTTCCCAGAAAACCTCAGCTTATATCTCATTAGCTAGAACTATGTCACATGGCCATCCTTTGCTGGAAGGAATTTTCGGGAGGCAAGTGTTTAAACCAAGCATGCTGCCACTGTCAAAACCAGAGTCTGTAAGGAAGGCAGAATTAGAATGAGTATTGCATAGGCAGCTGGCACTGTCACATAATTGCCCATATTAAATTTGTTTTCTAGAGTTCACGTCTTCAGAGTAAGAGTTTGTTACCTGTGTGATTGGAATTTGCAGCTTTATATTAATCAAGCAAGTATTAGAAAGTGAGATGACTTTGTCATCTCTTTATCTGCTCTGTCTGATGTCCATTCTGCAGCATGGCCTCTGAAAGTATGCCATGCCTCAGACACCACTCTGCAGCGTCTTCTGTTATGATAAATAAAGACCTGCTTTCTACATGAAGGAATAACTTGCTAAAATAAAAGCAAAGGTCCACAGACCTTCACAGTGGTTGAGAATGAGGCAGCCAGAGCCACAGGAGGCATCCATAAATAGCTAATAGCCTCGTTTCAGATGTATGTCCAGCACATTCTGTTTACTTCATTTCCCTCAAACTAATAAGCAGTCAAGCAAGGGACAACAAGACTTTGTGTTTTTGAGACTTCTTGAGTTGGAGTACAGATGGTATTTCTTGCAGAAAATGGTCTCGTGGAGACGGTTTGAGGGATGACCACACGTTTCCTCCTCTGAAGCAGCTGCATCACACAGTGTAACTGTTGTGTAGGAGCAGGGGGAGGGGAAGGGAAGTGGCAATTCACTTTGTCCTCCTGCAGTTTGTGCTCTCTGTGCAGTGCTGGGGCTGGAGAAGGAAAACCACAGGGTGGAATGCAGACCCAGTCTTGGCAAAGTCACGGGAGTTCTTCGTAATCAGTGAATGTCATGATCCCAGAAAGTGATCAAAGAAGCTGTGCTTTTATGTAATCTCATTTGTAAAATACTATAAAATGCCACGTGTTATTTTTAAGTATAAGTCATGGTAATTAGCAGCATTGTGTTTGAGAGGCAGCGTGATCTAGTGGAGAAAGCTTAGGAGACTTTGGGCACAGTGTTTCCGCATCTGTGAACAAGATGCTGTGTGAGGTTCCTTCTGACTTGGAGGTTTTGTAACTCCTAAAGTCAGGCTTTGAAAGGGAGCCTAAGTGTGGGAGGGAGGGCAGACGGAGATGATGAGCAGGGTTAGATTCCAGGGATATCTGGGAGGAGTCTTCTGGGAGCCTCCTGGAGAAGATCTGAAAGGAGACTGTCCAGAACAGGCTGGAGTTTGGTGCCAGTGCAGACATGCTCTGGGTGGGATCAGGTGCAGAGGAACACAGGGTTGATGTTGCTGTGGAGGAGGTTGGGGAACTGAGCGAAATCTCAGGAGAGCAGAGACATGTGAGGGGAAAGAGAGGGAAGCCATGGAATCAGGTGTGCACTCCTACCCCTAATTCAGGGGGTCTTTCAGAGGTGGCAGGAGAGAGGACAATGATTAGAAAACTGCAGGGACCTCTCCTGCCTCCTGCTCAATTTTCTCAACTTGAAGAAGGCCCTCCCTGCTGTACCATGTTAGTAGGTTTCCATTTTTTATTTATTCATTCAGCCATTTATTGAATCCCTTAGTAAATGTATTGAGTCCCTCAGTATTCATTAAGTCCCTCCTCTGTGCTTGGTGTTGGGTATGCAGCTGTTAGGAAATCAGACCCGTGTCCATTTCTCACAAGATGTATGTCCTTGGTGGGGGATGGGAGAAAGTAGATGGACAAGTAACTTAACTAGACACATGTGCTGGCCTACCCTGGGGCCTCTCAGAACCAGGTGGCTTGCGACATCTCCTTTTTGGTGCTTAGATGCACACTAGGCCCTCACTTGGAAGATATCTCTACTGCTCTTGACCACTCCTTCACAATCTAGACTAAAATTCACTTAGATAAAGAAAAGAAGCAGCTTTTTCAGATTAACCCCACTCTGTCCTCCTCCAACTCCCAACAGTGATTGCCAGGCTTGCTTACCAGTGGTCTTGGACACACGTGGGAATGGCCTTCTCCCAGTGCCCTTTTCTTCTTTCTTGGATGACACTGCGTCCAGGGTTTGGTTTTCTGGGAATCCTCCACTCAGCTCTGCTCTCTGCAGAGGGCCTGGGCCCGACTGAGGCAGCGTGGGAGGAGGGGACAGACTCACTGAGGCTCCCAGATGTGAGCAGGAGCCTCCCCTGGGTGGGTCCCTGTCTGTTAGAGTGCCGTCCAGTAGGAAGGGCTCATGGAGCTCTGGAAGCCGAGACGGCTGCAGACCACCCTGGCACTGAGGCCGTGCTGGAGTCACAACATAGGAAATGTAAAACTTGTAGTCTAAAACTCACACAGAGTTGTCATTTAGGCTGCAAATGTTTAAAAAGAATAGAGAAGGTCTAAATACCACAAGCCTTCCAGCATAGACTTTCTCTTCCCGCTGAGGTTGCAAGATAAAGCACGTTTGTGAATCCAGTCCATCCTCTTGAAGACCTCAAGTAAATATTGCCGTGTCCTAGTTTGTGTCCTTCTTGGGGCAGTTCCCTGAATGCTAATGTTAGGACATGTGTTGAGGAGAAGCCAGCAGCTCCGCTTTTTAATTAAATCTCACGTGGTCTGTTAAAAACCGAAAACCAGACAAAAATAACAATAATAGCAAAAACTGGGGAATAGCTTCTTTTTCATGTCACATACTTACTTTTAGAAATGGCCTGTTTTGCCTACATCCTCCCTGGCCTCCAGTCGCTTTTCTCCACCCCACCCCCAGGGCCCCGAGTTCCTCAGGAAGCGTTTCCAGTGTGGGCTGAGGGGTGCTGCAAGGTCTGGGGTTTCCTTGCTTGTAGGTGCTTTGCCACACAAGAGCATTTGATAGTCTGCACCCGCCTGCAGAGGGGCTGCTCCTCACCTTGCCGCCAGCCCACACAGGAAGGAGAGGCTGGGCTCGGCTCCTTACAGTGCATTGTGTTTCTTTCCTGGCTTGGCTTAGAATTGGAGTGCTTTGCCTGTGAGGGGGTCTGTGAAAGCCCACCTTTGAGAAGCCTGTGTGTCAGTTTTATCTTTCTCTGAATAAAGGAGGTTGAGCATCCTTCTTGCCCATTGACTGACACACACACTCCAAATGTGGGGTGCCACCTCTGAGAGGTACAGTCACTGCACCTGCTTGTGAGGTTTGTCTACCGCAGGGGCAGGTGACATGTTTAGCCCTGGCTCTGGGCTTTCATCTGCTGACAAATAAAGTAGGTAGAGGAGACTAGACCCTATTAGTGGTGTTTGAACTTGTTTTTTGTTTGTTTATTGGAAGTCCTTTTCCAAGTGAAATCTTCAAGGGAGCTCCAATATGTAAAAGAGTGAAAAGAGGAACTGCTGTGGTGGAAGCTGGGGTGGGATTCCTTCCTCCTCTCCCTCTAATAGTCCCCAGGCATTTCCTGGAACCATAAGGCTCAGAGGAAGGGTCTGGGTACCGGGGACTCGAGGTGTTCTGTGGTGACTTCTAGCTTGACGTTTTACTATTTTGTGTCTCTCTCCTAGATGTGTTCTCCTTTAGGCAACAGCTCTGTCTCCTCATCTGTTGAACTCTCAGCACCTAGTGCTTAATACTTGAGAGTCATTTGAACCAAGAATTGGGAATCCATGGTGGTTTGTAACTTCTGGCTTTCTTAACTCAAACTGGTAATCTATTACCAAGCCCGTAATTCTTCTGTCTCCCAACACACCCTCTTGCTTTTCCTATTATAAGCCGGGTATTGACTCTCCTGGCCAGAGCCAGATTCCCCTGATAGGTACACAGCAATCACTTCTTCATGTCACACTCAGGATGCTTTTCCAGTGTGTTCTCGGAACCCTTCTCACACTGCCCATGGTCAAGTTAGTGACCTGCCTGCAAAGAACAAGCCAATCGTAAGGTGTTCTCCTTTGGGACAGATTTCCAAGGGCCCCTGTGGCCCAGGATGCCCTGTGCTTGCTTCCTCCACCAGTGCTCAGTAACTTTTGCAGAGACCTGTCCTGAGTGACTCAGGTGGTGTGCTCATCTGATTAGAAATTAAGTTTTTCTCGGATATCAGTGTTCAGCAGTCCCATTCTGATTTTGTTTTGGTTGATATTGCAAATGTAGAGGTGCTTTATTAAAGGGAAGTGTAGATCAAATTGATTATTGTGAAGCAGTGTTAAATTCTGTTTGCAAACATGCCGTATTCTCAGGGGGATTATATCATCTGGAAGAATACGAAGTATTTGTAGTGGATATGTTTTTGGCAAAACTTTTAAAAAGTAAGTTTTTATTGTGGGAAGTTTTAAACATTTGCAAAGAGAGAATAACATACTATGACCCCCCTGTTTATTAGGTAATTTCAACTATTATTATTTCATGACCCATCTTGTTTCATTGATACCCCTCCCCACTTTATTTTGTTATTTTGAAGCAAATAATGTGTTATTTGAAGCAAATGCTGGCATCATATCATTTCAACCTTAAATATTTCAAAAGCCTACGGTTTAAAGATATTGTAGTCTGAAATTTGATTATGCTTTAGCATCGGTGCATTTGCCTATGAATTTACTGAACTACTATTCTGTGATATGCAAACTTATTTTTTCAGTGTCACTCTTTTCACATACTAGTAAATATGTGTATATTTGTATGCCTCCCACTTTCTTAGAGAAAAGGGGGTGTAGTATAATTTGATCTGCAGTTTGCTTTTCTTACCTGACAGTTTATCCTGAAAATTGTTCTGTGTTGGTACCAGTGAGTGGACTTTGCTCATAGCTTTGTGCCAGGTCCCCTGGTCTACAGGACAGCGGAGGACAGCCCCAGTGTCTCCTTTCCCTGGGCTGCCACTGTGAGCACTGTGGGGTTTGAAGCATATCACGACCTTCCTTTGAGAAACATGGATCTACTTTAGATGAAATGGTTGCAGAACACCAAAGCCACCCACAGATTGAATTTTTATCTAGTATACATTAAAAATATACTAGAATACATATAGTGTAGATTTCTATAGTATATCAAGTCAGTGTTTTATGTAGGATATCAAGTTCTGTGTAGAAGCTTTGAGTAACTGACATTTGTTTGCCTTTCTTTCAGATTTAATTTACCCACACCCAAATGCTTCTGCAGAAAAAGCCAGAAATTTCCTAGCTGTGGAAACTGTCCCTGGAGAGCTGGTGGGAGAACAAGCTGCAAGTCAGCCAGCCCCAGGGCATCCAAATCCCATTAATTTCTCTTTGAAACAGTGGGGCACTGAGCTCAAGTGAGTCTTTGGAAAGCAGCATATGAAACTGAAAATGGGTTATTTCTGATAATATATATTATGGTTTTATATATGAAATTATAAAACCACCTTTCATTGGTGAAGGTCTTCGTCATTTACACGGTGCTTTCACACAGTTCGTTGGGTTTTCTCAGCTTGTATAGAGGGCCTATTATGTTCCTGATACTGTGCCAAATGCTTTCACGCTCATGGTTTCATTTAATTGCTCCACTCTGTGAGGGAGGTCGTATGGTTGACATTTTACAGAAACAGAAACTGACTCAGGAAGCGTCCTTGTCTAAGGTCCCAAGGTCCCAGGCTGCAGAGGTGGGGCTTCTTGCCCCAGGGGCCAGCTCCCTTTCTAGGACCCCAGGGTTTCCTTAGGTGCTGTGCTCTGGACTTCTGTCATCTGCTTGTGCATGGGCTAGTGAGAGGGGAGGTAGATTTGTTTTTGTTTTTGTTTTTAAAAAATGCTTTATTGAGATGTAATTCACATACCATGTAATTCACCCATTTAAAATGTACAGTTTGGTGGTGGTTAGTATATATGCAGAGTTGTGCAACCATCACCACAATCACTTTTAGAAGAAACCCCAGTACCCATTAGCAATCACTTCCCATTTACCCCGAACCCCTACCCTCCAGCCCTCTGCAACACCTAATCTACTTTCTATCTCTATGGATTTGCTTATTCTGGATATTTCATATAGATGGCATCATACAATATGAGACCTTTTGTGTCTGGCTTCTTTGACTTAGCATAATGTTTTCAAGGTTCATCCAGGTTGTAGCATGTGTCAGTGCTTCATTTCTTTTTATTGCTGAATAACACTCCATTGTATGGGTATACCACATTTTGTTTATCCATTCTTCAGTGGATGGACGTTTGGGCTGTTTCTAGTTTTTGACTATTATGAATCATGCTGCTGTGAACACTCGTGCACAAGTTTTTTGTGTGAACACGTGTTTTCATTTCTCTTGGGTATATACCTGGGAGTGGAATTGCTAGGTCATATGGTAACTCTGTGTTTAACCTTTTGAGAAGGTACTTAATTGTTTTTCAAGAGGCTGCACTATTTTACATTCCCACCAGCAGTGTATGAAGGTTATGGTTTCTCTACGTCCTTGCCAACGCTTGTTATTATCTGATTTTTTGATCCTTGCCATCCTGGTGGATGTGAAGTGGTATCTCGTGGTTTTGATTTGCATTTCCATGATGATTGATGATGTTGAAAAACTTTTCGTGTGCTTATTGGCCATTTGTATACCTTTAGAGGGACATCTATTTAGACCCTGTGTCTACTTTTTAATTGCATTTTTTTAAGGCTATTTTTTTAGAGCAGTTTTAGGTTTACAATAAAATTGAAAAGAGGGTACAGAGATTTCCCATATATTCCCTGCCCCCACACATGCATAGCCCCCATTTATCAACATCATTCACCAGAATGGCACATTTTTTTACCAAGGATAAACCTTCATTGACACATCATTATTAGCCAACGTCCATAGTTTAGGTTAGGGTTCATTCATGGTATCGTACACTCATGGTATTCGTGGTTTGGACAAATGTATAATGACAGCTATCTGTCATTATTTTGTCATACAGAGTATTTTTGCGGCCCTGAAAATCATCTGTGCTCTGCCTATTCATCTCACCCCCACCTCTTATCTCTGGCAACCACTGCTCTTTTTACTGCTTCCATAGTTTTGCCTTTTCCAAAATGTCATATATTTGGAATCATACAGTATCTAACCTTCTCAGATTGGTTTCTTTCACTTAGTAATATTCATTTAAGTTTCCTCCATATCTTCTTTTTTTCCTCCATATCTTTTCATGGCTTAATAGGTAATTTTCTTTTAGTGCTGAATAATATCTTATTGTCTGAATGTACCACAGTTTATCCATTTATCTACTGAAAGATATCTGGATTGCTTCCAAGTTTTGGCAATTATGAATAAAACTGCTATAAACATTGTGTGCAGGTTTTATGTGGACCTAAGTTTTCAACTCCTTTGGGTAAATACCAAGGAGCATGACTGTTGGATCGGATGGTAAGAGTATGTTTAGTTTTATAAGAAACTACCAAACTGTCTTCCCACCAGCAATGAATGAGAGTTCCTCTTGCTCTACATCCTCACCAGCATTTCATGTTGTTGGTGTTCCAGATTTTGGCCATTCTAATAGATGTGTTAAGGTCTTTGGCCATTTTTTTAATTGGGTTGTTTGTTTTCTAATTACTGAGTTATAAGAATTTTTTGTATATTTTAGATAACAGTCCTTTATCAGATATGTCTTTTGCAAATATTTTTTCACAGTCTGTGGCTTGTTGTCTAATTCTCTTGATGTTGTCTTTTGCAGAGCAAAAGTTCTTAATTTTTTTTTTTTTTAAAGATTTTATTTTTTCCTTTTTCTCCCCAAAGCCCCCCGGTACATAGTTGTGTATTCTTCGTTGTGGGTTCCTCTAGTTGTGGCATGTGGGACGCTGCCTCAGCGTGGTCTGACGAGCAGTGCCATGTCCGCGCCCAGGATTCGAACCGACGAAACACTGGGCTGCCTGCAGTGGAGCGCGCGAACTTAACCACTCGGCCACGGGGCCAGCCCCAAAAGTTCTTAATTTTAATGAAGTCTAGCTTGTCAATTATTTTCTCGTAGAGCATGTCTTCGGTGTTGAATCTAAAAAGTCATCACCATATCCGGGTCATGTAGGTTTTCTCCTGTGTTATCTTTTAGGATTTTTATAGTTTTGTATTTTACATTTAGGTCTGTGATCCATTTTTTGTGAAGGGTGTAAGGTCTGTGTCTAGATCCATTTTTCTGCGTGTGGATGTCCAGTTGTTCCAGCACCATTCGTTGAAAAGACTATCTTGGCTCCATTGTATTGCCTTTGTTCCTTTGTCAAAGATCGATTGAGTATATTTATGTGAGTCTACTTCTGAGCCTTCTATTCTGTTTTATTAATATATTTGTTTATTCTTTCACCAATACCACACTGTCTTGATTACTGTAGCTTTATAGTAAATCTTGAAGTTGGGTAGTGTCAGTCCTCCAACTTTGTTCTCCTTCAGTATTATTTTGGCTGTTCTGGATCTTTTGCCTCTCTATATAAACTTTAAAATTATTGTGTTGGTATTCACGAAATAACTTGCTGGGATTTTGATTAGGGGATTGCATTGAATCTATAGATCAAGTTGGGAGCAACTGACATCTTAACTATATTGAGTCTTCCTATCCATGAATGTGGAATATCTCTCCATTTATTTCATTCTTTTTTGATTTTGTTCATCAGAGTTTTGTAGTTTTCCTCATATAGATGTTGTATATGTTTTGTTAGATTTACCTGTATTTCATGTTTTTGGGTGCTAGTGTAAATGATACTATCTTTTTAATTTCAAATTCTACTTGTTTATTTCTGGTATATAGGAAAACAGTTGACTTTTGTGTGTTAACCTTGTGTCCTGCAATCTTGCTATAATTGCTTATTAGTTCCAGGAGTTTTTTTGTTGATTCTTTCAGATTTTCTATATAGATGATCATGTCACCTGTGAATACAGACAGTTTTATGTCTTTCTTCCCAATCTGTATACCTTTAATTTCCTTTTCTTGTCTTACTGCAGTGTCAGAGACTTCAGTATGATGTTGAAAAGGAGTGGTGAGAGGGGACATGCTTGCCTTGTACTTTATCTTAGTGGGAAAACCTTGAGTGTTTTACCATTAAGTATGATGTTAGCTCTAGGTTTTTTGTAGATAGTCTTTATCTCGTTGAGAAAGTTCCCTCTATTCCTAGTTTACTGAGAGTTTTTATCATGAATGGATGTTGGATTTTGTCAAATTCTTTTTCTGCATCTATTGATATGATTATGTAAGTTTTCTTTTTTGGTCTGTTGATGTGATGGATTACATTAATTGATTTTTGAATGTTGACTAAGTCTTGCATACCTGAGATAAATCACACTTGGTGGAGTATAATTCTTTTATACATTGTTGGATTTGATTTGCTAATATTTTGTTGAGCATTTCTGCATCTATGTTAATGAGAGACATTGGTCTGTAGTTTTCTTGTAATGTCTTTGATTTGTCATTAGGGGAGTGCTGGCCTCATAGAATGAGTTAGGAAGTGTTCCCTCTGCTTCTGTCCTCTGAAAGAGGTTATAGAGAATTAGTATAATTGCTTCCTTAAATGTTTGATGGAATTCACCAGTGAACCCATCTGGGCCTGGTGCTTTCTGTTTTGGAAGGTTATTCAATTTCTTTAATAGATATAGGCCTGTTCAGATCATCTGTTTCTTCCTGTGTGAGTTTTGACAGATTGTGTCCTTCAACAAATTGGTCCATTTTGTCTAGGTTATCAAATTTGTGAGTGGTTGTTCTTAGTATTCTTTGATTATCCTTTCAGTTTCCATGGGCTCTGTAATGATATCCTGTTTCATTTCTTATGTTAGTAGTTTGTGTCCTCCTTTTTTCTTTCTTTTTTTTTTTTCCCTCCCCAAAGCCCCAGTACATAGTTGTATATCCTAGTTGTAAGTCTCTCTAGTTCCTCTATGTGGGATGCCTCCACAGCATGGCTTGATGAGTGCTGCATAGGTCCACACCTAGGATCCGAACTGGTGAACCCCAGGCCACTGAAGTAGACCGTGTGAACTTAACGGCTTGGCTATGGGGCTGGCCCCCTCCTTTTTTCTTAGTTAGCCTGGCTAGAGGCATATCAAATTGATTGATCTTTTCCAAGAACCAGCTTTTGGTTTTATTGATTTTCTCTATTGATTTCCTGTTTTCAATTTCATTGATTTCTGCTTTAATTCTTATTTCTTTTCTTCTGCTTACTTTGGGCTTAATTTTCTCTTCTTTTTCCAGTTTCCTGAGGTGGAAGCTTAGCTTATTGATTTTAGATCTTTCTTCTTTTCTAATATATACATTCAATTTTATAAATTTTCCTCTAAACACTGCTTTTGCTGCATCCCACAAATTTTGGTATTTTTATTTAGTTCAAAATGTTTTTTAA